ACACACACACACACACACACACACACACACACACACACACACACACACAGCAAACCCTCACCAGTAACTAGTGAGACACATTGCAATACTGATGTTCTTTTTTGTTAGAATTTTATTTGCGAGTTGTGTATTATAAGGACCATGTCACAAACCAAAATTAGTCCCAAGAGCAATTTGTTGCATAAATACTTTGGAAAAATTTATTTAAAAAGCTTAGATACAAATGGAATCCATCAGTAATTCTAGGGTTAACAAACCTGTTGTATAAAAGAACAACATACGTCTATGTAGATTGTGATCGTCTGACAGTGACTTCATTTTCAAAATGCCTTCAAAGCTTTAACACGTTTATTTTTATTTAATCCACTTCTTTGTAGGTGATAATTTTGGGTACGGTATTTTTTTAACAGCTATAAGCTAGTTAGTAAACCATGAAGTGATTTGTATATATTCCAGAAAAAGTCTGTTCTTGTAGCACTCTTTTCGTTATCATACTAATGAATTCACATCCCCAAAAGCCCATTGATATGTTTCAAACTGAATTAAAGAACATTTTACATACAAGCAAAGACTGATCAGAATGTTGATACTAGGATTACAAAAACTGAAAAACAATTCCAGTTTATACAGAGAACAGGTTTGTGGGCTGTGGATTCGAGAATCCATCGCTTGCATCCTGTTATGGCAAAATAAATAAAACTGCTTTCCACATTGCAGCCATCAGTCCATTGCCAAATCTCTCTATTCAATCAGACAAAAGTATCTTTAAAGTGTTGACAGTGAGTGCTTTTAACTAGCTGCCCTCCCTCTAGTCTATCAGTTTACTTGATTTTCTTTCCTACAGTCTGTAATCTAAAATAGTACTTACCTCCAGTTTGAGCATCAAATCGTTTTGTAGCAATAGCATCAATTTCATCAATGAATATAATAGCAGGTGCATTCTCTTTAGCCAGTCGAAAGACATCTCTCACCATCCTTGGACCTTCGCCAAGATATTTCTGAACAAATTCAGATCCTACAACCCTTATAAAAGCAGCTAAAAAGAAATAAAAAAAAAATAAATATATATACCATTAAACTTAGTCAATCACTTTCATTTAAATTCCAGGCAGAGAGAAACACTTAAATGGCTGCTTTTATATCTAAAGTAACAAAACAAAATATTTACTTTCTCTTAAGTTAAAACTTTTCTTCAATAACTATAATAACAAAAAGTTAGAAACACAAGATGCACTACAATTTTAAACTTAAAACAGCACATTTGGTGTTTAAAAGCATCAATCTTCAGACAATGTAGTACAAGTATAATTAAAGTTAGGAACAAGAGTCGCAGTTACTAACCTGTTGTATGATGTGCTACAGCCTTGGCCAACATTGTCTTGCCACAACCTGGAGGGCCATACATGAGAACTCCCCGGGGAGGGTCGATCCCGATCTGTTTGTAGAGTTCAAAGTGGGTGAGAGGCAACTCAACAGCTTCTCTAATCTCCTGTTTCTGTATATCCAAACCCCCAATATCAGAGTAGCTTACCTCGGGTTTCTCGTCTGATCAAGAGAATATCATGTTGAAACACAAGTGTACCAAGACAATAAAACATTTGGAACATTATAAGGAACTGCTTTACAAACATGCACATTTTCCATAAGCAGTTGTTTAGGAATAACCTTTTATTTCATTCATTAAACATCAGATAAATTCTAAAGTTGTGGTCGGCAACCTTTTTTTGATCGTGGATCACTTGTATTTTTTTGAAAAATTTAGCATTGTGTTGGGTCAGTGATAGTCATGTAATTCTTAATACCGGTACATGTATTTAAATACAACAAACAAAATTAATAGTTCGACTAGCTTGAATATTTTTCCTAAAACTGATTTAAAATTCTCTGTAGCCATGACTTTCCCCTCTTTCCTTTAATATCTTTGTTCTTCTCACATAGCCGAGAAATTTGAATTGAGCAATGATCGTACCCTCACAGGTTGCAATGGTGAAGCCAACTTTTGGCGGGTCAGCCAAACCATTGCTGCAGGTCACTGAGCATTGATTATGCCCTCACGGGTGGCAGTGGTGAAGTCAACTTTTGGTGGGTCACTTGGTGACCCACAGGTCATAGGTTGCCGACCAATGTTCTGAAAGCACAGATTGGTCTTATCACTTCATAAATTTAGCTTTGAAACACAAACAAGCTAAATATTCTGTGTAAAATAAAGTAACTCTTACCAAATACACATCACTTAAATCAATGTCAGTACCTACAGTGTAGTTAAGTCTAATTACTAGAAGTGAAATTATGATGATTTACAAACGTATACTACTTAAAAAATATTAAAGTTGGGCAAATAACTCAATTACACTGATCATTAGATTATTTTATACAACACAAATCATAGTGCATTTACAATATTAATTGACTTAATCAATATTAGTGTTTCCAATTATTACTATATTTATTTATTCCAGCTATCCAAGTCTTAGGTGAATTTAATTGATTACTGGGCCTGATGGTTAATCAACTGGCAAATTCCAGTATTAAAAAATATTGTATCTGTTGTACCCAGGCTGCAACAACTTATTGGCTGGGTATCCTGATTTTTAATATTATTTTTAGTCCCAAGGAGTTCAGTTATGGAAGATTGTGAAATAATAGTTTTAACAAAAATATTTTGGAGTTATTCTTATTGGAGGTGGTATCATACACAGGTGCCATGAATAAAATTGATGCATAAGCATATTATACACATAGAATTGCCATACTTATTCTAAACAAGGATCTTGGAAAAAGTTAATTCAATTTACCTTTTTTTTTTCATAAAAATAACTCCTCAAGCTTCATATACACGTAACTGGAAACTTACAAATTGAGTTTCCACAATTATGTACTTTGAATAGCAGTGCATTAGTTTTTGGTGGGAAATAATTCTTATCTATTTGTATGACAACAGGAAAAAAAAACAACTTTAAATTACACTTTAGTTTTTAGAATGTTCTATTACATAAAAAGATACATCTTTTAATAAAGAAAATATATAATTATAATTTGTTTTTAAATTATTTAAAACTAAACAAGGTGAAACATCTGTTATTGCTGCTGTCAGGATAACTGTTGTAACTCATAAAAGTGCAAACTGACTTGATTTCCAGTTTAGATAACATCTTAGGATTTGATCACAGCATAATTACATGTGATGTTTCATTAAGTGTTGAGATAAAAAAAAAAAGTTTTAGTTCCTAATTTTCAAAGTAATTTTTGAAGCCATGAGACAAGTGTTATGAGCAATGAATAAGGATAATGAGTTAAAGGGTGATGTTTATCGATCATGGGAAATTTTTAAAAATAATATGTTCCTAAAAGAAGAAAGAAATAGTTGGAAAGTACAATCCAAACTTGTTTACGTAAGACAAAAAGGAGAAATAAAGGATACAAAAAAAATACAGTATTGAGGATGCTGAGGTTTACGGAATGACTTCGATTAATTGGTAAATTTTCAAATATTTGGCAAATGACACTTAATCCTAGCAAGTGTAAGGTAATGCTTTTGGGTTATCATAATTTAGATCACAAGTTCAAAATAGAAGGGAACCTGCTCAACATAATGACTGAAGAAAAAGATCTCAAGACATTAGAGCATTGCTCCATTGCTAGTAATAAAGCTAACAGGATGCATTTTGTGACATATTAATTATAAGTTAAAAGAGATAATTCTCTGTCTCTCGTTAGATTGTAGTTGGAATATTGTGTACAGTTTTGGTTTCTTTATCAAAGAATGATACTGACTTATTGGAAATGGTTCAGAGAAGAACTATTAGAATGATTCCATGAATAGAAAAGTTATACTGGGACAGTTAAGATCTCTTAAGGTTTTTTTTTCTTGACAAAAGAAGGGTTAGAGATGATCCTATTGAAACTTAGGGGATTACTCAGGGAACCAAAAGGATTATCAGTTAACTACAATCTTTTGGTAATACTTTAAATTTAGAAAAAGGGAGGTTAGGCTCCAGTTAAAATGGTTTTTAACTAATGTAGTGAGTTACCATTAGCAATAGTGGAAGCTAGCACTTTACAGAAGTTTTAAAAAGTGAATAGGTGATTTCCTGAAAAATAAAGAATTTAAAGGGTGGGTGTGCATGGACAGCCTTGAAGAATCAAATGGTTTATTGTTTCTCATATCTTAGGATGTACTGGTGGTAACTGACACTAACAACAAACAGCAGAAGTTATTATGTAACAACTTGAACTTTCTCTTGGATATCTAGAAAAGCAAACAGTTGATTAACCAATGTCTTCAATTATACAAAAAGATAAATAATGTGACTTATGAAATACTCACAGAAGGAAATGTCATTGAACCTTTATTTGCTTCATAAACACTGCCGTAAAATTGCATACGGTTATCTTAAAATTAAAGTTTTAAATCTTTCACTGTGGCTGGGACTTGTGTACATCCCAATAATATTTTATATCTTGGCTGTTGTAGGCCTGTCTTTTTATTCTGTACAAGAGGTCATCAGGCTATATCCGTAAAAACAATCTTAGTTGAAGTACTGTTACATCAGGTGCTTAAAGAACTATCTATTGTACAGAAATTTTCCTGGTGAACTATGACCTCTTTTTAAAATACTACATGTGATAAAATCACTTTTTTTTTCTTTTTAATGACCAGTAAAGTTTTATGTTAGTGTGACTAAACCTTTAGGTGCAGAAAATCAAGATAGCCTAACAAAATATGGCATTGAATTAAAATATCTATAGGGAATGAACTACAACAACTATGGGTTCACTTTCTATCACTAGACGCTTATAATAAGCCAATGAATAGAAATATTATAGATCTTCTTGTGATGTTTCATTAGATGGGATGACTCTTCTTAAGGTAACATATGTTTGGAATAAGTATACATTCTGAATTCGGTTTAAACGTGGTGTATGAACTCACCTGGACGAAGCATTGCTATACTGCTGTCTGCTTCTGGAGGTAAAACGTCCACTAAGGCATTACTGTGCTTATGAAGAGCTACACTAGAACTGGGCTTAAGAAGTTCTCGATCAATAGTGGAAAGGATACGTACGTAATAGTTCGATCCTGTAAACATTAATAAACACAGTAACATAGTTATGATCATACTAACTGAAAGCAATTATAACTTATCAAATCTAATCCAAACTACTTCACGATGCAGTTCCTTACTATAAGTATGAACAGTTACCATTTTTTGATGTACTGGTATATACTTTCAAGTACTGTCTCAGTTCTTTATGTAATTTTAAATTATTTTAGTTCTGATCTGTAAAGTTACTTTACTTTCGATTAGAAAATTTCAAGTATTGTATTGACTATAAAATAAAAACAATTGTTTTTTCTTACATTTGATTTAAACAAAAAAAAAAGGTTAAAGATAATTAGTAACAAACAGCATCACTAAGCATAATTTGCCACACTTTGCTATTCCATATTCTCATTATCTTAAAAAATATACATTTTAATTATTTTTATAATGCTTTGAATGGAGAACAAAACTTAAGGAAAGTCGAGCGACTGTTATTCTGAACAGGTTTCTCAATAAAACAAATGATAAAATTACACAATGTGAAACTCTTAACTCGAGCTCTTTCAAATAGTCTATCTTTTTTCCCAGTTTACCCCTAGGACTACCTTTAAATAGTGCAAGTTGTAGAATTTTGTATTTTTGTCTTTATTAAAATTAAATGGGTATGAAGCAATGATGATAATATAT